CAAGGTTATACATATTTATACTATGTAGGTAGTTAAGAAGTTGGAATTTGATAGTTGAAGGTATTGTAAGATCATTATTTGCATTAAAATCTCTCAAGATTATAGGCTGTAAATTAGAAGCTATAGCTTGTTGTGTCCACAGTATAACCTTGTTTTGTGTTAGTTTACGGTCATTTGTGCTAGTTGATGATAGATAGACAGATATAATTCTAAATTTGTAGTCATGTTTAAAGAATAGATCTATAGCAATTGCACCACCTGGGTGGATGAGAATGTTGTGAATGTGAGGTTGGATATAGTTTCATATCATAATACAGGTACCTTCTTTAGTTTCTGAAGAATTTGACCAGTAGTATTGATAGTGTTGAGTATTGTAAAATTTTGTAGGTGTAGTGTCTGGAATTTTAGTTTCTGTTAAGCTAATTATATGTAGATTGTTAGTTAGACAGTAATTTTCTTATAAAAGTCATTTTTCTGGATTGTTGTATCCTTTAACATTGTGTGTAGTGATATTTAGATATAATGATGAGTTTGTAGAATACTGTGATGGGTTACTGTGTATTTGTCTTGTGGGTTTTGGTTTAAATCATTTGTTTCTGTTGTAGAAACTTCAGATGTAAGTGCTGGTGTTGATATAAAGATATCTGGCACTGTATTAGGTGTAGTGTATTCAGAGTAGGATCTTAGTGGTATTTGAGAGTATTTTAAGTATTGGTCTGTTTGTAGAATAATGTGATCTTTGAGTAGTTTGAATTCATTGGGGAGATATATGTGTGCTTCACTGTGATCTTTTTTAATAGAAATAATTGGCTTGTATAAGTATCTGTTAGATGTATGTTTGATTTCATTAATATATGCAAAGAATGATTCTATAGTTTGAGGATGTAGTAGTGGAGGTAGAAGCTGACTAGATAGGTATTTGTTATAACAAGTATGTAGGATGAAGTTAGATTTAGGTAATTGATTATTTGGCAAGTCACAGGAGGTGAATGATATTGATAGTGACTTGTTATAATTGTCTTTTACAAGGTCGCTCACCGTATACCCAGCTCGCACGGTTTCCAGATTACCTGTAGCCTGCTCTGTATGTTGAGTCTGGCCGTCATAAACCTAGGAATCCAGGTAAATAGGCTTTCCCGCCTGCTTACTTACATCATTCTCTTTACCAACTACTATGAATGTATCTTTTGGTAAAGCGGCGGTTGCATCCATGTGTTTTGTAAAAGGCAACTTTATTGAAAAGGAGATTGAGATTCATTGAAGAATAAAGTTTCCTCAATAGTAGGTGGTGTGGTATAGTGCATATTGAATTTTTTTGTGAGAAGTTGTTCAGCTTCTGGGTAAGCTGTTTCTCTAAAGTATTGTGCTATTTGTGAATAGTTTAGTTTTTGATCTCTAGAATCATAATAAGTTATGACTCTAGCTAAGAGTTCGGTGCTGATAGGTTTAAGAGTAATAGCGTCAATAGCTTGTTGTCGATTAAGTTGTGCTAAGTTATGATTTTGTGCTGCTATTTTTTGGTATACAGAGAGGTATAGGTAAAAGTAATAACTGCGGAGTTTGTGGTTGACTGATTTTGGCGTATTTGGTGAACGAGCAGCTTCCTCAGCTGAAGTAGCTAACTTGTCAAGTAGTTTAGTTGGAATTTGTCTCGTAAAAGTTGCTTCATGTTTACCATCAATATGAAAAATTGATGGATTAAATGTAAGGTCTTCATTCTCCTGTTTGGGGTAGGTAATATAGGATCTTTCAAGAAGAGCCTTGAATAATTGGTTGTAGTTATGTCTATATTGAGGTTTTGGAGGGTTTTGGTTTTTACTATCTGTTTCTTTAGCTTTATCCTTGTTGCTGATAGTCTCAGCAAAAGGACAAGAGGTATCTTTGCATGTGAGGATGTGATGATTTGCATATTTAGTAGTTTCATTACGGTGTTGTATAGAGCTGTTAGGTTTCTGAAAATCTAAAGTTATGGATAGAAGTTCTTTAAGATGTTGAATGAAACACTGATAGAATTAGTATCGTAGAGAGTTATAAACTTTGGTTTTGTCAATTGGCTGTTCAAATTGGCAGCTATATTGTGAAAAGATGTGTTCAAACCAGTTATTAAAATGTTCGAGTGAGTTTTTTAAAGATAGAATGTTGTATTTCTCATTAAAGAGGTTTTTTAGGATATTAAATTCAAGATGAATATTGAATTTGGCATCAGATTTAATCTGAAGATATTTTTGGTCTTTGTCATAACTAGTTATAACAGATAATATTTTAAATCTTTTAGGTCTAAATTTAAAATCCTCAGCGAATTTAATGTAGTTAATTGATTGGTAGTTGTTTGATAGATATAGGTGAAGGCAAGCTAAGTTAATACAAAATTGTAATCTGTTTTGGTTTTTGTAAGGAGGTATTGTTGCAGAGGATGAAAAGAGTTTTGGGTAATTTAATTTGGTAAAAAAAACTGTAGTAAAAGTGAGGGTAAGTTTTTTAAAGGTTTCTTCTAAGATGTCAAATAGAATCGTAAGGGCTTTGTCAGTATTAGGATTTTGTTGTTGAATAAATTCTATAAGAAATTGTGGTCTTTCTCCAGCCATCTTATAGATGATATAATAAAACTAGCTTTAAGAGCTTTTCGGGTAGGAGTTGCTGCACGGATTTTTTTGTCTGGGTAAAAGTCAAAAAGGTGTGTTTTAAGGTGATTAAATATTTTCCTGCCAATTTCAGTTTGTAGTTGTGTGTGTTGTTCCATTTCTTCCGAAACTGGAAAGTTAGCAAGCCAGTCAAATGATAGATTGTTTTTAGTATTATGAGGTGAGTTGATAGGAGTATTCATATCAGCGTGTTTAGTTCATCACTTTTGAGTAACCCCAAAATTTTGGGGTCCAAATATTGATTAGCATTTTTATGATTATCAATTTTATACGTAATTGAATTTATATTAATAAACTTTTTGACTTGTGAGTAAAATATGTGCTAAAGTCCAACAATTTTTGAAGGTAGTATATTTTTATTATATAGAAACTATAAACTTGTTAATATTAAAAAGTAAAATTCATATTTATATATTGTATATAGAAGCACGATCTAAATTAAAGAACCAAGAATAATTACGATTATACAAATCACGCTTAACTTTATTAAACCGTTTATATTTTCATAAGGTAAATTATTTAAGTATATGTAATGTCATAGTGCGACATCTTAGAAAATATTACAGTATTTATTCAAATATATTTACTGTCAGCGCAAACTATAGTACCCTGAATACGATACATTCCACAAGCAAAATCTAAGTTAGTACCCAGATACTATACTAAGTTTTTTACATAGGCCGGTACTTTATATTCAACCATATAATTTTTTTGAGGAGGGACTTTGATATAGTGGTACTAGTCTGTGCTGTACGATATTACGCTTAATATTTTAAATTAGTGATTTGAGCCGAGAAAAATTTCCTTAATCGGTTAACCGAACCGAATTATTTCATTCAACCGATTGCCAACTAGTTAAGATTAACTATCTACTACCATCAGAAATTCTCGGTGCTTTATTCAAATTTTTGTTTTGTCTTTATGTTCATTCATTTTCTTTTTGGAACTTTTCGGACTCTTTACTCTCTCCTTACGTCATTTTCATATTATATCGATTCTGCCAACCGATTACCCAATTCTCAACCGGTTGTATTGGGTCAACCAATTAAGAATTTCCTCAACCGGTTAACTGAAATTTATTCAGTTCGAACGATTAACCGATTATAGCCCAACCGATTCAAATCACTACTTTAAATAAACAAATTCTTACATAATATGTAATTTTTTGCATTAATTACAGAAAGCATTAACACGTTAGAAGATATTACTCAAGTCGAATCAACTGAACTTTATTGATTCTCAAAATATTCTTGCTTGGTTATTGTTATGAATATGGAATTAAAGTTAGTACAGTATTTGGTCAAAAATAATGTATTTGTATATTATCAAGAAGAAAATCTTATGATTATTATTTTGGAATCCAAGTTAAAATAAATTTGAAATCAGCTAAAATGAAGAAATGAAATTCACTAGTTATTATTATTGAAACAGAATTAGATAGAAAATTTAATTGTTAAATCTGTTATTACTATTTCAATAAATTGGTGTAGTAGGAATTTAAACAATAATGATAGATCAAATTCAACCGTTATAATTAATCACTTTGATATGTTTAATTTTTTTTTTTTTTAAAGTATTAAAAACAATATACAATACTTGCTTATCTGCAAAAGTACTGATAACATTTACCAAAATTGCATTAGATATCATTCTTAAAAAAAATGTGATTTCAATTAAGCATTGGAGTTTACAAGTTAAAAATTCATTAATCTAAGTATAATATTCAAGATGAAAATCTAATCTTAACCGGGAGGAATTTCTCCACGATCATATAACGCATATAAATATTTATTGCACTTTGCAAAAAGATAGCCGTTCAAAGAAATATAAACATAACTAATCGATCAGAAATTTTTCCCGATCATTGTCACAAAAATCATGCAGTTACAAGCCATAATAATCGATTTATTCATCTATTACTTTATATTATGTAAAGGTTTGGCATTTGCATCTTTTTTTTTGCTTACTGAACACCAAAAATCTTCAACACTAACGGGTAAATACTCCAATCCGCTATTGATGTCAGTATTTTCAATACCTAAACTTTCCAATTTAATTAAATTCCTCAGAAGAACATTATCACCCAATATACTTCTACGCAAATACAATTAATCTAAAATTTAACCAACCTATTCTAACCTTTAATATCACCCTAACCTCTAAACTAGCCACTAACAATAATGCTTTACATTTTAACTCATAGCGATACCCTATTTTAAAAAAAAATTTAACAAATTAATATATATATATTTATCTTTTTAGCTTCAATTCTAATTAATACTTACTAATTCTATTAGCATTTTTTTTCAAAATGTCATTTTTAATTGACTTTACAAATATTTCTAATTTCAACAAATGTTATTCTAATCGGTATTGTGTAGCTTTTTTAATATAACTAGAAACATTTGCTTGCCAATAAAATAATTGCCGATTTTCGTGTTCTAATATTTCTAGAATTGCTGATTTTCTAGACCGATCATGTCCACCATCTTTTAATGTATTTTGAAAATATCGACATACTTGAATATAGTTTTTTTTCTCTAAAGCTGAATATGAAAAAGCCATTAATCCTAAATCTCTATGAATCTCAATAAATTCAGAAATATGATAGGTTAAAACGTGCATATACAGAGTACAATCTGTTGCTTGATATAGTCCTTGCACAAAATTTTTATTTGGACATCCTTAAGATGGAGTTAAAAAATATTCTAACCATTCAATTGCTTTTTTTTTAAAACTACTAACGCTTATTTTTTTTTGATGCATATCATTATATAATTCAGCGAATCCATTTCAGAGTTTTCTAAGTTGATTTTGTCTAACTGTTGGTAAATAACAAATACTAATATTCTTAAAATTAAAATTATATAAGAGTTTAAGTTTGTCTGGACCCATCAAAGACGTATTACATAATTTTTTAGTATTTTTATCTGTTCAAAATTGAAATGTTATACCAATTCATTTCATTTCTACTAATATTTCTTGCTAAATCTTATTATCTAACTCTCCATTTCGTTGCAAATCAGATAAAAATAGTTCAAAAAGTCGATCTGTAATGCGAAGCATTACATGTAGCTTGTCACACACCCAATTTTTAAGATCAATCATATCAAATAAGGGTGCACGTTGATGCCCTCTAATGTTAAAAAAAATTTTTTTTATTTGTTCCATATTTTTGGTAATTGTTCAATCGCCAACTAGTTTATTATTTTGATCGAGAATTCCATTTTGCTGTTTCATACATGTACACCATAGACAAAAATGATTTGCATTTGCAGAATTAAATCCTAAACAGGTAACTAAAAACTTCCAATCTGCGCTAAAAAAAAGTTCCACATTCCAATGCAAGCCGTTAAGTTGGTAAAATCCAGATTCTCTTAAATTGTTTAAATCAAAAATTAATGTGCAAAGTGCATTTTGAAGGGATTGATAATTTTTTGATCCAGAGTAAAGAACAAGTGTATAATACCCTTCAGGCTTATGTAGTCTATCTATATCATTAAGTATTATAGCCGTTACCATAACATGCTGAACCTTTCGTCCTACATTCCTACCATCTCCAGATATATGAAGTTTAATAGTAGTATTATTTGGAATTAAAAGTCTTTTTTTTATATACTCAGGTACAATAAAATTTAATATATCAATTATAAAATGCTGTTCACCTTTTTCAGCAGATTCAACTACATTATTAACTATATCAGGATCAGTAATATGAGGTTGATCTTCAATTAATTCAGAAGCAACAGATGCTTCTTCTACATTTGTAAGTGATAAGGGAACTAGATTTTGCATTTGTTTATTAAGTCTTTGACGTATACTTGATATTGCACCATCTCTTAGCAAATCTTGATTAATATGTGCTAATGATCAATAAGCTTCACGAGATATCTTGCCTTTATCTAATGATTTTAGAACCGCCAAATGCAAATCATCAATCTTTTCTTGGTTAACTTTTCCATATTAAATTTCAAATGGCTTATCATTTATAATAAAACGTGCTTGCTTAATTTCAACTTTGTCATCTTTATGAAAAATGTTTTCTTTACAAATTTCAACTTGATCAAATACACGTTTGGCCATTGTCAATATATGACGTCATTGAGTAGAATTACTGAGATTGTTAAAGGGCTGAACTTTAAGATAGGTATTGGATGGTAATGTTTTTCTAACTATACGAACAGAATTTAATTGTAATCCAAACAATTATACACCTGACATTCGAATGTCTTTCTTTTTATTCTCAATGTTATTAATCGTATTTGCATTTATTTCTTGAATATCTTCACTTGACAAAGTTTCTTTATTTTTTAGCTCTTTAAGACCCTTCAAAGATATTAATTTTTTAATACAATATTGCTAATACTAATAAATTTTTTTGAAAATTAATTATATTTACCTTGCAGTATTTAGCTGCAGCGTCTGATGAAGATTTTGTTGAATGAACCATGTATTTGTCAAACTATATTGCAAAATATGGCTTGTCATTGATATATTGGATAGAGCATTTTACGATATATTTTTTTTTTCCATATGTTGTGTGAACAATATACTGATCAGGAATAGCATATTGCTCTGGTTTCTTAGTATATGCAAGTTTATATAAAGGAGGATAGACACCTTCATTTATAATTATATAATCCCATGATCTATGTGTGCCTTTAAAAAAAATGTGCGAGTCTTTAGGATATGCATTTATTTCTTCTCACTTCATGACTATTAAATGAAAAAGCATGTATGTATGTACAACGTCTATTATATTAGGTTAATATAGTACATACGTACGTACGTATGTACGTACGTTCGTATATAATCAAGTAATTAATCACATGAATTAAGTATGATTAGCCATTTTGTAGTTAGCATATGTATGTACATACGTACATACATACATATCTTTAAAGATGCTGATTTTGGATTATCTAAGCCAGTGTCTCAAAGTTCAAGCACTGAAGAAATTTATAGTAAAATTCCTTAACATTGCTCTAGAGATATTCTATACAGGCAGAAAGGAATATACTCAAAAAACAGATATTTATTCTTTTAGAATTATCATATCAGAAGCTTAACACCTCTCCTCGGTTACACAATCAAGATATACTTAAGTATTTTTTTTTTTTTTTGTAACCTTCGATCAATGCTTTTTTTCTTTTGCGTTGCATCTTGAATATGCTAGTATTGTACTTTCTTTGAAGTTGTTGTATATTGGTATTGTCGGTTGGAGATGTCATATTTGGTGTTGTTGCTAAGAGTCGTCACTTGTTGGAGTTTTCATTTACATGCTCG